TTTCCGAAATATGGGACCCTAATATAGTACCCTAAATAGTAGGATCCTTATTATAAGGACCCCCAAAATACGAAAAGTCCCATATCTTTCACTAGACCCCAATTAAAACTTGGTTTAGGGTTTAGGGTTTAGGGTTGATGTAACCTTAAACCCTAAGCCCGGATGCCTTAAGAAGACCCCCCGTTCCGAAAGGCCACAGCTCAGCAACTATGTAAATCACCTTCGCAGCGCCGGTCTGGATGCAGACATGCCTCAAGGCCGCGGCAGGTTGGTTTGGTCTTTGGCTGGAGGTTGCTTAAGGGTTTAAGGTGTCTTCTTTTTTTTTGGACCTCTAGTCCAAATTGGCGCTAAATATGCTTGGTATTGGGAGTTAGGATTTAGGGTCATCTATAGTTAGAACATACTAGAATGTTAGGAAGTTTCAACCCCACTTATAACCATGAACCTCCACATGGGGTGGGGTGGTTTGAGGGTTCAAGGATGTTCACGGTTTAAGGCTTTCGACCCTTAGAGTCTCACGTTCACGGTGTCAGGTCTATTAGTCGGTAAAACCAAACCCGACTAGGGTTTAGGGTTTAGGGTTTAGGGAATGGTAGGATATGACCCCTGTACCAGAGGGTAATTACGTAGAGGGTCATTGGTTTTCATTGTAGCCAGCCTACCGATAACCCCGCGTAGAGCTGCCCATGAGCCTTCAAGTAGAGACCCCACAGTAGGGTTTTGGATCCCACGGACGAACCTAAACCCTAAACGCCCTGCCATCGACCTTCACGAAACGGCCTGCGAAAGCTGCTTGGAGATCCATGGGCGGTCATAAAGTAGGGTAATTACAAGTACAGCCCATATTGAGGGACTTATAACTCACGTATAACTACCCATGAACCTCCAAGTGGTCCATCCTTCTTGAGGTGAGCACGTCGGTACTGATGCGGAGGTGCGCATTGTGCGGGGCTGCTCTTAAGAAGGTCGTCCGGATTCAGATGTGACAAGCTTACCTTGAAAAAAAGAGGGCTTTTGCAAAGGGTTTGAGGTATGATCGAGCCTCCGTTGAGAGGCTCGGTCGCTTATCGATGCCAGAAGCTTACCTTATAATCGTTCGAGGTATGACGGAGCCTCCTTGACAGCTTGCTTGCTTTGCAGAGCCGGCAGCTTACCTTATAATCAAAGGTATGATCGAGCCTCCTTAGGAGGCTCGTTCGGTTTTCGATGTGAAGAGCTTACCTTTAATCAAAAGAAGAACCCTTTGGCTAAGGGTCTGAGGTATCATCGAGCCTCCGTGAAGCGGCTCGGTCGCTTTTCGATGCCAGAAGCTTACCTTATAATCAAAACAGGCAGGACTTTTGCTAAGGGTTTGAGGTAGGATCGAGCCTTGAACCTCAACATGGATGGTCTGCAAACCGCTTGAAGCACTTCATGTTCCCAGAGAGCCCAATACCCCTTAACTACGGAATATACCTTAAATCATAATATGAAGGCCCCTATAACTTAAGGTCTATTCCTTAATTAAGGGGTATTGGGTTCTCTGGGTTTTCTTCAGCAGAACATGCTCCCCTGGGAGGTGCCCGTGCTTCCAGTTCTTGGAGATTCCATGCCAGCAGGCAGTTCGCCACTTCCGGGTTTGGGGGTTTTGCGTGTACCCCCCCAAACCCTGAACCCTAAACCCTAAACCCCTAAACCCCTAAACCCCTAAACCCTTAAACCCTAAACCCCTAAACCCCTAACCCCTAACCCCTAAACCCTGAACGGTGGCTGGAGGGGTTCGGGTTTAGGATTCTTTGGGTTTGCGGGCCTTCAAAGCTTCCTAAGTTTTCGGACGTTTGGGCTTTTTAGGGTTCTGATATCTTAGTAGCTGAATGAGTAGACTTTGTATACTTTTGGGGACAATATGATCCCTTATAGAACTGAAAGTGTACGGTGCTTATGAACTCTGCAACTAAAAGCGTTGTAGGGCTATGGGCGCGAACGCCAAACAGGAGACGCACATCAGGAAGCGCGAGCATTTAGTAGTGCGAGTCGTCTTAGGGGTTTAGGATTAATGGTCGCTTTAGGGTTTAGGGTTAATGGTAAACCCAAGGGCCCTAAAGCCTATAGAAACCTGAGGATTCCTCATCTCATGCTCAGATATCGCTCTTGGTCCCAGGAGCATCTTCCTTGATGAGAAAAGCATCCCTAGAAGGCGCCTGTACATTGTCCTATAAACCCTGCCTGAACCCCACACAACCTACCTGTTAAGGGCTCCTTATGGTGATTATTTTTTAAACCCTACAAGATAGGTTCTGGCGATTAAGCCCAGGGTGCCCAATACCCCTAAATTAAGGAATATACCTTGAACTATAGGGGACCTTAATATACTGGTCTATAAGCTATATTCCTTAATTAAGGGGACCCTTGAGCTCTCTGGGAGATTGACTATAAAGCTCCTAATCCCCACAAAGAAACGCTTCTGAAGAACTGCAGGTGGCGAGGATGAGGAGGAGGGCGTTGTGGACTTGCTTCTTGCCTAACAAACGGCCTGCAGTTTCGGGAACTATACCCTAAACCCTACACCCCTAAAACCCAAACCCCTAAGCCCTAACCCCTAAGCCCTAAACCCCTAAACCATAAACCCTAAACCCGGTTTTGGGTTGCAAGGTCCTTGCTACACGGACACCTAACCCTAAAACCGAAGCCCTACCCCGAATGGACAAAAAACTTAGTAGCTGTATGAGTACACGTGAAACTCTGTGGGACAACATGATTCTTATAGAACTGAAGGTGTACAATTTTTGGTGCTTATGAACTCAGCAACTAAGCCAATGGACAAAAAATGTCCTGCCTGAAGTGCTTTCATAACGAAGCCACTCTTCCTACACTCGAGTTTTAAGTGTTCAGGGACACAGCCTAGGTATTGGCGGACATAAACTTACTGGTTAAGCGATGTGGGTTTCCATGTAAACATACATATATCATATATATATATGTACATAGGTATAGAATGGCTGTATGAGTAGTGTACGTTGCCGCAAGTGTGCATTTTTGTTGGAGGCGGGGGCTTATGAACTCAGCATTTAACTGTGTGGGTATACACACATATGCATACAGGTATAGCTATCTATGTGTGTGTATATATATATGTATTGTGCATACATGCGCATGTAGAAAGAGTATACACATACTTATACTTTTGATACTTTGTATATGTATATATACACACATACACGCAAGTATATCGGAGTTTATAAGTCTTGGTGGGTCAGGGTCACGTCAAGAGCCTTGGGCTTGGGAATGAAGGAGTTTTTGTGTTTGGAGGCTGAGGTTTCCGGGCGTTTAATGTTTATGGTTTGGGGTTTAGGGGTTGGGGCTTTGGGTTTATTGTTTGGGGTTTTGGGTTTGGGGGTTTGGAGTTTGGGGTTTGGGGTTTGGTTTAGGGTTTTGGGATTTGGGGTTTAGGGTTGAGACGGACCGGCTCTAAACTACGGACTGTGTTGAGGAAGTTGTTCTTCCGCCGGGTGGCGGCACAGCCCCGGTATTTCCACCGTGCTGTCGTGCACATATAAAGTCCATAATCCGACATGCGGGTTGTTTACATTGTACCCCGTTGTAGTCTCACAGTATCACATATGGTAGCCGTAGAGTACACCTCATGGAAGCCTTATACTACCCCTCATGGTAGCCTTATAGTGCCCCCACTTTTCTGTAGCCTTATAGTGTCTCTGGGGTCATTGTCATTTGTAAACAGGGAACAACCCGCCTAAGCAGAATACGCATGGCCACACGACTCGTACTGGGCGCCCGTCGTCGGTCTGGAAAGTGTTAGTTTCAGGACCATTCTGATCCACACAGCCTGTTGAGGTTCAGTTTCGGGGCTTGTGGCAGGGTTTTAGCATCTTGGGTTTTTGGGGTTTACGGATATTTTTAGTGAGGAGAGACGTAGTAGCTGAATCAAGACATGTTAATGATCCCTTATAGAACTGAAAGTGTACACTTTTTTGTGCATATGAGCTCAGCAGCTAAGGAGATGTTGAGGGTTCAGGATGTTTCATGAGGTGGTCGCTGACGGTTGAGGGGTTGAAGGGCCTGAGGCTCTGCGTCTAGCTTTCGAGTTGAACGGTTTTGAATTTCCTGTATTAGGCCTAAACCCTAACCCCTAAACCGTAAACCCTAAACCCAAACTCCTACACCCTAAACCGTCATCCCTAAACCCTAAACCCTCAACCCTAAACCCCTAAACCCTTATAGTACCCCTATGGAGCCCTTTAAAGGAACCCTTATAGTACCCTTATGGAGCCATTCCCTAAACCCCCAAACCCTGGAGCTTCGGCATCTTTGCAAGGCTGAAGATGAGAAAAGCATTGGTCCGTCGAATCTGTGGATCCCCTTTTCCTTAAGGACGAAATGACCCTTAAAAGTAGGGGCCCTATATCCCTATACTATGAATCCCTATATGGTATATGAACCCTAAAACCTTTTAGGGTTCCTTTCGTCCTTAAGGTTAAGGCCCCCTTGCGAAGCTTAGGCCCCATAAAGCCTAAACCCCCACGAAACTTAGGCCTTATAAACCCCTGAACCCCTAAGCCGGTTTAGGGTTTAGGGTTCAGGGTTTACGGTTTACGGTTTTAGGGTTTAGGGTCTAGGGTTTAGGGTTCAGGGTTTAGGGTTGAGGGTCTAGGAAGTGTGCAGAACTTCCCCTCCCGGCCTTGCAGGAAACGCAATTGTCCTGTCGTAGACAATGACCATAGTTAGCCACTTGAAACCCCACTTGTAACTACCCATGAAACTCCAAGTATGCCTGCTGCAGCAGCTCGCTTGCGAGTTCGTTTCACCGTGTTCACGACTGAAGGCCCCCGTAAACCCAAAGATCGTTGTCGAACCGTTGTCGAGCATTGAAAAACCCGTAGACCATCTCTCTCTATATATATATATGTATATATAAATATATATATATATATGTATATATATATATAGAAGCATAGAAGCCTTCTAGCCGGATCATTCAGACATAGCGTGTTCACCTTGCCCCGATGGTTTACGTTTGGCAAGTTTCGGGAGAAAAGTTGCTGGAAGTCTCTGACGAGCAGTTGACTGATGCGGCGGCCCTGAAGCAGCTGTTGCAAAGCCACTGTGGCGTGGCACCCTTCAGACAGCGACTTCTGTGCAAGGGAAGCTATCTCGAGGACGCTTAGTGGGTCCAAAAAGCAACGTTTTCAGCTTGAAACTCTTAAGCTTTCGTTGTCCTATTCTGAAAGATTGAACTTCAGATGCCTGAACATCCCCCAGTGTTTTGGGGAAGTAAGGACGAATATGCCCCAGGGTTTAGGGTTGGGGGTCCCTAAACCCTAAACCTTAAACCCTAAACCTTAAACCCTAAACCCTAAACCTTAAACGCTAATCCCTAAACCCCAGACCCCAAACCCTAAACCCTGAACCTTAAACCCTAAACCTTAAACACCCTAAGGACGAAGCCAGCCTACAGGGGGCAGAGGACCTGCAGCTGGTTTTGCTCAGCTTCGCTGCGACGACGCAGGAGCCTCGGATTTCCCCCGGCAGTACCCTTTTTGGGTTTAGGGTTTAGGGTTTTTTTAGTTTAGGGTTTAGGGTTTAGGGTGTTTTTAGTTTAGGGTTCGGGTTTTTTGGATTAGGGCTTTTAGTTTAGGGTATAGGGTTTTACTTTAGGGTTTAGGGTTTTTAGTTTATGGTTTTAGTGTAGGGTTTAGGGTTTTATTGTAGGGTTTAGGGCAAGTTTAGGGTTTGGGCTTACCACCAGGGTAGCTGTAAGGGTACTACAAGGGTTCGGAAATACAAGGGTCAGTCATTATAGGGGTTTGGAGAGCCCAAGGGGCCCGCAAATTAAGGAGTATACCTTAACCCGTATAATGCTAAGGCTTTAAGGTTTAGGGTTTGGGGTTTAGGAATATATACCTTCAACCAGAATATTCAGGCCCCTATATTTTGATGTATATTCCCCAACTGAGGGGTATTGGGCTCTTTGGGAGTACCCTTTTTCCCTTTTGACGCTTTGGGTTTGGGGGTTTAGGGTTCAGGGTTCGGGGTTTTGGGTTCAGGCTTCGGGGTTTAGGTAAGAAGGGGTACCCCTAACCCCCAGACCCGTTTCAATATGAGGGTAGTTCTCTAAAGTAGGGTCCCTCTTTAGGCCCCCAATATAGCACGGCACCCTTATGAATAGGATGCCAAAAGAGATCCTGATTTAGAGAATTACATTTGGGGCTACTGGCGAACTCAGGAGCAGATCAACGAGCTCGTGACCTCCGCTCATTCTGGTGACCATCAGAAGGTGAAAGACATGTTGCTCGGACACCAAAGAAGCACATATGGCTTTACCTAAACCCCCCAAAAGTAGGTAAAAATAATGGCCCAAAACCCATAGAAGGCTATCATTCTACATACTTTTGGGGTCCAGGAAGGGTTAGTTTAAGGCTTAGGGGGTTTCGGGTTTAGGGATATCCCATATAAACCCCCCTTGGAGGTGGAGCCCAATGAAGTTGGGACATCCTTGTACAATGCGTACGCTAGTCGCATTTGTGGGGCCCCTGTAGTTGGTAAGCCTAAACCCTAAACCCTAAACCCTAAACTAAACCTTAATCCTGAAGTTGATAAGTTCTCTTTGCCAGGAGCTTCATTCAAGTTATCCTTACAAGGATCCGTGGTAAGCTATATACGTGTCGGGTGCAGGTTTACGGGTGAAATTAGAAAAAAATAAGTATAGTGGTAACGGTATTGCGTATAAAAAAAGAACTACTATGGTTAATTATCATAATAACAATAGTAACAATAATAGTATCATGAGCCATAACAGTAATAGTAGCATAGCAACAATAGCAGTAGGGTTAGTCGTCTTGGCAACATCAAAAATGGTGGCAATCATATCACACCAGAACGGTGGAATGCTTTCATACCATGGTACATCAAGGAATATTTGTTAGCCTACCGCCTAAACGTTAAATCATGGTTGAAGAGGCCACAGGCTTGAACCCTGAACCCTAAACCCCAAAAGAAAGTCTAAAAAGAAAACCCTAAGGGTCCATGTCCCCAAATTGTATATACTTTGGCCCCAAGGTACCTATATAGAGACTACTTCAAGGCCAAAGAATATACTATTTAGGTACATGGACCCTTAGGGAAGACCCCGGCTCTAAACCCTAAGCCCTAAACCCTAAAGCCCTAAAAATTAGTCTGAAAAAAAAAAAGCTGACCCAGGTTGAAGAGGCCACAGGATCCAGATTCATCCAATGCTGCTGGAAACAGACCTCTGATTGCGGCGGCAGCAAATGGGCATGCTGAAACTGTTTCTCGGGCTTAGGGTTTATGGTTTAGGGTTTTGGGTTTCTCAGTAGTCCAGTTAGTAAACTTTGAACAAGCGTTTCGGGACATCGAACCCCCCAGATTAGTGAAAGTTTGAGCGTTTTTTGTGCTAATTAATGACCTCGGCAACGCAGGTTGCATTGCTCTTATCTGCCGCCGCTGATAAGGACCTCTCTGACGCAGACCGAAACACTGCCTTGATTCTCGCGTGTGCTTTCAAGAGGCTGGAGGTCGTAGAATTGTTGGTGGAAGCTGGTGCTTACCTGGACGCAGCAAACCGCTTCGGCACGACGGCGCTGATGGCGGCATCTAGGAAAGGCTACGATGACATCGTGGCAGTGCTCTTGAACAGGAGAGCCCAAACTGACTTGGCCGACAATGCCGGGAACACTCCTCTGATCTGCGCGGCAGCGGAGGACCGTTTGAAGACCACGAGTTTGTTGTTGGAGGCCTGAGACAAAGCAAAAAAACCATGGCATACGGAATGGAATAACCCTAAACCCTAAACCCTTAACCTTAAGGTTAGTTCTAGTCGGCATAAGGAATGGAATAACCCTAAACCCTAAACCCTTAAGCTTAAGGTTAATTCTAGTGCGGATCTATTTCACAAACGACAGGGCTCATCCTTAAGGACGAAAGGAACCCTAAAAGGTTTTAGGGTTCATATACCATATAGTATATAAGGATCCCTAAACCCTAAACCCTAAACCCCTAGTATAAGGATATAGGACCCCTACTTTTAAGGGTCATTTCGTCCTTAAGGCCAATAGAAGCCCT